GGGTATAGCGACACATTTCAGATAGGCTACAAACTATTTGTATCTTTACATGGGAAAGATGTTGCAGAGTGAAAAATAAATAAGACCACATAAAGAATTTCAAGTCATGTCAAGTCTTGAAAATAAGGATGGTGATCCTCCAAACTATATATGGTATCAATACTCCATTTTTAATCTAAACTTACTTTTGTAAAGATAAAATAAAGCAGAAGGAATTATATAAGTTAACTAGCGTTAGAATGAGCTGAGCAATTCTTTAGCAATGAATCGTGTATACGAGAAAAAAAAAAAAAAAAAAAAAAAAAAAAACTGTCCTTGGAAATTTTTATTCAAAATAAACAAAAATGACAATGTTATATTTTTTTAATTATTATTTTAATTATATATTTCGCATGGATATATTCCTGATAAATTACAGTTGTTTAGAAAGGTTATTGATATATTCTAAATTAATATATCACCTGCCTTGAACACCACTAGAAATATATCTATAGTTTTCCAAAAACATTGATGCTATTTATTCAGTTTTAAAGAATATTCAAAGAATACGTTTTTAACTGAGCAGCCAGCAAATCAAGAATGACAAGTCAATGTTATTGCTAAGGAGATCAGAAAAATGTATGACGAAAACTGAGGTAAAAAAGCACGTGTATCTAACTCAATACAAATCGTATATTTTCTGTTTCAAGAGATAAACCATACACATCTGTCTTTATTTCATCAATACGAAATGTGATCTCTATTCTATTTTTTAGTTCCACATAATTTAACTCTTAACTTTGATTCAGATGAAAATACTATGATTATATTTCTCTTTCAATGCTGCCTTTATTTTGTTTCATTGTTATTAGTCATACTACTCTAATACAAATCGTATCTTTTTCAATATTCGTTATACCTTCATCCTTTTTTACAAATATCCTTTTTGTTATATTCTCTTAACTAAATACCAATTTTATATTTATTCGCACGCAGAAAAATCACTATTCACTCACGTCACCGTTCAAAATCGATAAAAAAATATGAACATTCTTTTCTTTAAGATTCATTTTTTTTTTTTTTTTACAATGCTAAATTATAATTTACTGCTCTTGGTATATGCAACGCTTGCGGGAATTTGTTTGAAAATAATTCGCTTGTGCTCTTTGATGTCAGGACGATTACAACAGCTAATAGCTCTAATTCGAGCGCATTAAGAAATTATGTAATAAATTCCGAATTTGAAGTATTCTCCTGACATAACTGACCATAGAATGTACCTTAATTATCCCGCTTCTGGAATCAGGATACGACAAATACTTCGCTGAACGAATGTTAATTACAGTTCTTAATAAATTAAAATTGGCAATTCACGTGCAAATGACGCAAAATAAAATGTTTTAATCACATGATTAGAAATTTATACATCGTGTGTATTATGCTGATTACAAGTATATAACTGATAGAAACAAACGGCTTTTCCAAGAGACGTCCTTGCGGGTGGACAGGAAAAAGAACGTGTAAATAACTTATTTTCTTAAGCACATCTCAGACTGTGTACACGATACTAATGATCGATACAGCAGGTTTTCTTATTGGTAAAATTAACGAAGAATATTCATGAGGACAAAAAGATTCAAATATAAAAATCGAAAGATTAGACATAACTATTAAAATAAAATATGGTTATTTTGTGAATTTAGAAAATGTTGCTGTCAATTTTAATAAATAAAATCTTGAAATATTAAGAGAATATGGATCATGGACACGATATATTTTATATTCTATCCTAATTTCAGACTTTTTTATGTAATCCTTTGAAAGGGTTTCTGGAATGTTCCCTAATGCCTGGATATTGATGAAAACATTGTCCTCTAGTAATATAAACCCTGATCCTCCGTCTTTTCTTTAGCATGAAATAATCATTGTTGCATGTTTTATATGGTAGGAACTTCAATCAGAATATGTATATAGCTTATAAAACTAAAGAGTACTACCGTGACTTATGGTTTCTTTATTCGCAACTAGCAAAGTCACACGCTCAAGGCTTTTGTTCTAGCTTTATCATTTCTGCATTTTCGTCAAAGTTTTATTGAAATTGAATATAATTTTATTTAGGAAATATTTCTTTTCGTGTTTTTAATGACATAATTCTTCAACATGTATTTGATCATGAGGGCTTATTATATATATATATATATATATATATATATAAAATACTGGGTGTAACAGCAAAATTCTCTATTTGTTAGTAAAGTTTTAACCCTTGTATATCAGAAATAAAAGTTATCTTACAAGAATTTTCAGAGCTTTTTATAACACTATTGGACTAATTTGAGCAATAACAATGTATAATTATTCTCCAAACTTCACAGAAGAATCATGATAAAATCAATCATAAGCGAATATGACATGCTCATCATTATTTAATCATAGCCAAGGATCATAAGCTCATGACTAATAGAAATAAAATTAATATTATATATATATATATATATATATATATATATATATATATATTCCAGGATAATTTACTAACTTAATCAAGTTGATCTCGCCCTCTCTCAACTAACATTCTATCCTGGAGTAACAACGTGCCTCACAGGTTTCATGTACAATTTCATTTTCAAGTCATTTTTTTTCAGTGCTCTTGATTTTCATAGCTGAAATTCCTCTCACGTGCCAAACGTCTTATGGATTGAGTTGGATCTTTTCTAATTGATCTCTGGTTCTAAGTTAAAACGATGATCCCTCTTCTATATTGTAATCTCCTATCCAATTTTCTTCTCTACTTTTCCGACTTTTTAAAACAATTTTCACCATTCCCTTGATGGTTCTGGAATGGAAGAAAGGGTATGAATATTGGTATCATTACTGAATAATCTTCCTCCCAAACATTGCCCAGTTCTCTTTCCAGCTCAAAGGATTTTTCAGTACGAGAAATGGTACCACGAATGGTAAACATATCAGAAAACCCGGAGAAAAGAAATTCAATTAACTTAGCATTTTTTACATATTAAACATTTTGTGGGATGAACAGTTAAGCTGTTACACGATTTGCACAATTTTGCTGTTACATCCGGTGTGTATATATATATATATATATATATATATATATATGGGAGGGTCACCCTTGGTTAGAAAGGGTCAGAATGAGTGTACTAACTTTGTTTAAACGGTTGGAAGCAAAATCACACCAAATGATACGCTCTCTCCTATAAACTGTGACTAAAGTTCACCCAGCCTAATTTCAGTATAAACGTCAAGTGGGCTCTGGTGGAAAAGGTTGAAAGAACAAGCGTCTGAACAGGCATATACACCAGGGATTTGCTAGCTACTCTAAATCAAACAAGAAACTCATTAATATTCTTGATTCCATTGAATCTTTTCCGTTTTTTAATATACATGTTATTTTTGTACATTATTCGGACTATTTCCTTATCTTTGTCGCCATATTTATTACAACGTTTCGGCCGTTGTACGCTCCAGCCTTCTTCAGGTGGTTGGAATGTCGAACTGAACCCTTTATTTTACTCACTGGGGTAGACTATTCAAATTTCACGCTTAATGGATATCAGTTATTTCCTGTTAATTCCCCTCTCCAAGTTCTCCACTTCTTTAACCGGGTATTGAACTAACACTCTTATTTTTGTAAACTATCTTTCACTTTTAGAATATTACTTAATTCCCGATATTTTACTCAGAATATTATGTTTTATCCTAAACCATATTTCTTCGTCTATCTCTATATCCTATAATCATGTTGTTTTCAAGAATTCGTTTCAAAAAACTACCATTCTCGCCATGCAAATTTTACCCGTGTATTCAAAGTCAGATTATATTTGGATTTGTTGTTATTACTTGCATTAATATCCCTTAGTAATGTATTCTAATAATGTTTTCTTGTTTATTTCTTTCAGGTTTCTTCTGTGTGTCAATTGGGAATAACTTGATGGATGCCCCACATTTTTGAAATGAAAAATATAGATACACTTCTTCATAATTCTCTGATGATTGTTTTGAATTGTTTCACTTTTTCATGCCATTTTTAACACTGTATCGTTTTTGAAACAGCCACTCTAGTCAAAATGCGCTGAAAAAGGAAAAAAAAAAGACTACATCTTTTCAAGAACATTGGAACATTTATTTTTAAATATTCAAACTCATTCAGATATTACTTTTAGGCATACAGTATTACATACAACATTTCACAAATATTTAAAATTAAATACGCGCGTGAGAAAATACAGATTCTGACTGATGAAATTTAAATGTTTACTTTTTTCATTGTTCTTTCTTAAAGTATATACATATAAAAGGTTATGTAAATATAAGGCACATTACCTTAAGCTACAAGGTTAAATACCTTTACATAGATTACACAAATACAGTTCGCTAAATATCAGCACACATAAAATTACACTGTTTACAATAGTTCCTTCAAAAATAATGTGATGTTCAATACAGCTATGTAGTTAAAAGGCAGGCGTCAACAGGTGCAATGAGAACACACTATATCAATTTCTAAACGAACAGAATGGAACAGGTATACACACACACACATATATATACATATATATATATATATATATATATATATATATATTATAAATTTCCGAAAGAGTGTTATCGGGAAATTTGCCAAAATTCATTTTAACTTTTATTTCATCTCTTCGCCACCCGCTCCGAGTACTTCAAATGTTTCTACATTTGTATTTCAAATATTGTTGTGTGTAGTTAAGCAACTGAATTTTAATTCCAGCGTACTCACGTTTGATAGAACCAATTTCAAATCACTAAGGGAAATGTGAAAGATTTAATAAAACATTGATAGACAGAAGTTTATAGATTACAAACATTAGAATGAGTAACAACCAGCGTAAATTGTGTCTCAAGTTAGGCTGGTTGTTAGGGGAAAAAAAAGGAGGTAAAAACTCAAACATGTACCAGCTTAAAGTAAAGTTTATAGTAATGAAATAATCTTGGATAAAAAAATTCTTTAAAAATTATATATTTTATACGAGAGATTGGGAGAGAGACAGAGATTGGGAGAGAGACAGAGATTGGGAGAGAGGGGAGATTTGGAGAGAGAGATTGGGAGAGAGGGAGAGAGAGATGGGGAGAGAGAGAGATTGGGGAGAGAGAGATTGGGGGAGAGAGAGAGATTGAGAGAGAGAGATTGGGAGAGAGATTGGGAGAGAGAGATTGGGAGAGAGAGAGAGATTGGGAGAGAGAGAGAGATTGGGGAGAGAGAGAGATTGGGAGAGAGAGATTGGGAGAGAGAGAGATTGGGAGAGAGAGAGAGAGATTGGGAGAGAGAGAGAGATTGGGAGAGAGAGAGAGATTGGGAGAGAGAGAGTGAGCGTCTGTTATATACTGTGCGAAATCACTGATTTTTCACTTTTGTTATCTAAAATCTGGAAAGAGAATGTTGTACATATGAATCGAAACAAAACAATTTGCCATATCTGGAATTCTAAGATACAATTGTAGATTCCTCCATTAGGTAACGTAAAAAAGCAGCATATCACGATTAAAAAACGCTCGATTGTGACGAGGTGATGAGAGATTACTATGGATGATCAAAATTGTCAATTTTTGCAAAGTAAGCGAACGCGGTTTTTCGTTTTTAACTAGTAATTTTTAACTATTAACATTTTTATTCAGCAATTATGTAATATCTATTCTTTATTTCATACGTTCTTAATTAGGTAATTATTTAAAGTATTTTATTAATTAGATCATTGTTAAATATTTATTAAGGATTATGTCATGTATACATTTCCATACGTAGAAATTATGAAAGTTTTTTTTTTCAATAAAATTTATAAAAAATTATTTTAAAAATATTTGGACTGTTATGTGCTTTTCAAATTTCGATTCGTAAACTTACTTTTTCATTAACGTTATCATTGCATTACGTACTTGAAAGCAATAAAGAATTTTAAATGATTTTTGAAGTATTAAGAAGTTAATGAAAAAAATTTTTAAAAATTTGTAAAAAATACATTATTCATCGAAAAAAATTTATTTCTTCACAAAATAATGTCCTTAGTATAACGTATTTATAAAAACAGGTGAAAGCTTTTCTAATTAATTAATGTCATAGTTTTTTTACATTTTTTTTTATAATTCAGAGCAGATTTTCTATGATATGTGGTACTGTTTTAAAAAAAAAGAAAAACTGGTGATTTACTTTTTACAAAGAGTCCTGTTTATAACTAATAAAACAAATCCCGCGCTTGAAGATTTAATTTCTCGAAATTTCATGAAAATATGTAAGTGGGTGGAAATATGTTAAAAAAAAAAATCTCTTTTTAACAAGATTTTAAAAAAAAAAAAAAAAAAAAAAAAAAAATTCAAAAATAATTTCATTCATTTGTTAATAAGTCCTGAAAGTCTCATTAAAATCCGACAATTATGTGATTTTTGCAAGAATTTTTAAACTTAGGTATCGAAAATTTGTGCCAGGAGTGGAGAAACAGTTGAAACAGCAATCGTTTCCTTCACTCTCACCAATATGATTAATTGCTTAGAAAGTTAATTAACAAAGATATCTTTAAACTCGGAACAAGCAAGAAATTGTATGTGAGTTGTTATTAAGTTATTAATAAGTCAATTATCAACTATTCCTAACTATATATTCCTTACTTAAATGTCATCCTTTTTTTAGATAATTACCAAAGTCTGTGTTTATTTCAGATCAATTTTTTGAAAACGGTTCATTTATATTGAAACTTTTCCCATTCACAAAAAATAAAATAAACGGATTGACTTTCATTTTTTACAGATGATTCTATCACACAATGAAACTTGTGAAGAAACATTTACATCGAGAATGGCCTACACAGACAAATACCCCTTGTAGAGTTGAATGTATTACATGGTTTTGCATGTAGAAAAATATTTGCTCAAATTTCGAATATATATATATATATATATATATATATATATATATATATATATATATACACGCGCACTTTCGTGGTGACCGTAGACGAGAAATTGAATAAATACGTTGTCGGTTGCACAGATAAGAAAATTTAAAAGTAAATATGAATTAATTCCAAGCTAAAAAAAAAAAGAAAAAATCTTGAATTTTATATCTGCTAGTTTAAACGTATTTAACAACTCAGTTAAAAATGATATTATTGAAATGGTCGGATATATGTTGTATCCAGTGTAGCGGAATATCTCCAACGTAGACTATTAGTAATGACCAGTTCACTGTACTGCACCATTAAGTACCAGATTCCTCCTGTTAAGTTTACAAAACACAGATGAAGCCGAAAGTAGAATACTTCTTCCATGCCTGTCTTGATAGAATCTAAAAACGTCTAGGTGGTCTTGTGGGTGATGAAGTATTTTCCACCCTACAACCCTTTCCCCTCACCACAGACGAAAGGTTGGAAGCCTCTCACTTCCCTATCGATAGTTTTATGGAAAGTGTTCAGACGAACTACATTCCTTACTTCCAGATGTTCTAACTTTCAGAGCTAAGATCAACCATGCCAATCATTACTTTCGTATTCTATTGGTGAGATATAAAGTTTAAACCAGAAAGTATTTTTAGATTGTAAGAGGTTTGGGGAGTTAATAGTGATTTGCCAATGCAAGTCTTAATAATTATTGAGAAGAGGCGGATTCGTACTTTTCCCCAGGGGTATTTGCACATTATATATATATTTTATATATATATATATATATATATATATATATATAACGGACACGACTGAGATTGGAACTTGGCGCTTCGGTTTCCAATTCAGAGCCGTTATCCATTACACCAACTGCTATTCCCACAGTCTCTTGTCTAGGTTCTGACCATGATCGACGTTGCTTAACTTTTATGATCGTATGGGAGCCGGCATTTCAATACCATAGGGTCATAGATATATTAGATATATCGAAAGCTTTTTACAAGGTGTAGCATAGCGGATTACTACACAAGTTCTTCTGCTATGAAATCACTAAAAGAGTTTTCTAAATTATCGAATCTTTTCTAACAGGTAAGTCCAAGAAGGTAGTTGTTAATGGCCAATCCTCCGAGACTTTGTGTATCGATGCAGGCCTTTCTCAGAGTTCCAATCTTGGTAATCCTGTTTTTCTTTAATGAACTGCTTAAGAATGTACTTTTTTCTTTTGTGAATATCTATGTAGATGATAAAACGTTCTACGGGTGCTCTTTCCAGATTGTAGATGGCCAGAAACACTTATCTAATCACACCTCTGACTTAGCTGTAACATAATGGGGGAAAACTGGTTGGTCATATTCCCTAACTCAGAAACTAATAACTTTCCATCAGCAAACAGACCCTGAAACTCTCTATTGCAATGAACGTGTGTACTCTTTCTCTCAAAGATATCCTTTGTCTCTAGCATAGATTATGACAATTTCTCCCTAAACCTCAAGTGGAACTACTATATACGATCCATCGCTAAAACTGATGGAAGAAATAGTTCGTACCCTGTACCGGACCAGTAAGTAACTTCTATAATCTGCTTTTCTAAGAGCCAGATCTGATTGAAGATGAAGTAATGCTGGCATATCTGGGCTGCAGCTGCTCTATGGATACATTCTAATGTCCAAATGAGAACATGAGGCCATGTGGGTGATTATTTTCCACTCTGCAACCTTTCGTCTCTGGGAAGGTGTTGGAACCCTCTCACTACTCTCGCTATTTTCATGGAAATTATATAAGAATGCAGGTTGTTTTAACAAACTAACAGCTCTTACCCATCACACCGCGTAAACTGATACGAACCACCCTCATTACCGTTGTATTTCATTGGAAAGAGATAAGTTCCATTCAAACAGCTTCTCACGAATATTGAAGAGGATTCATCATTGACCACTACAATATTAACCTAAGTCTAAACTTGAACAGATTAGTGTTCTCACATATCCAAAGTGCGCCTGGAAACTTAACATTTACACAAAAAAACACCATCAGTAATCTCCTTAGAGTGTCATTGGTGATTGTGTAGGATGAAAGGGAGACAAAAATAGAGAGAGGAAAAAAACATTACTATTTCATTAGCATCCGTTCTCAATGTGCGATATATAAAAATTTAGGATTGACTTGTCAACAAAGAGAAAAGTGATTTGGGATTGAAGAAAACGTTCCGTTGAAGATTTTGAAGTGTTAGGAATGTTTCTTTTTCTCACGTTGCCCGAACGTTGAACAAATTCAGATTAAATATATTAAATCTCTTCTAGCATAGGTAAAAATGCGCTTCTGCTTAATATTAGCCCAGAAGTCGTCTCAATCTTCTTACATTTTTCTTTGTGGTCGTCCTTTTTTGACGTATTACCGCTATGATTTCCAAGGTTTCATGTTCGAGGTTACCAAAGCTTTATATTAACCATCAGCTTATCCAAGATGAACCGGCATACATAACGTTTCTTTATGTGAGACGTAGACGATTAATGCCACCACAATTTCCTCTTCTTTTAGCTCCTAATAAACCCTGTTCCACTATCCATTTAGTCAAGATCACTTAGTAATGCGTTGATTTCTTTTACTATATCCCGTGAGTATCAGAATTTCTAAGGACACCCCCCATAATTATGTGCCGAAGAAAGCTCAACTGTCTCTTCTTGGCGTTAAGTGTTATTTTCCCTTATGTTTTCATCTTCTCCAAAACTTTGTCGTTGCTCATATATCCGGATCCATGGCATCATTCTGTAGATCCTTGCTTCATCTTTGAGGAGATCGTCCAATACTCACTGCCATACAGGAGGACATATCACGTAGACACAAAGTTTACTATTCATAAATTGGATATAGCGCAATCTAAGAAAGCTTATCTAATGAATTGTCCTCAAGGAGGTCAAAAATATTAATTAGAACTGTTTGATTTCCTCCCCAGCCATTTCGTAGAATGAGATGTAATATCAATAGATATTGTATATTTAGGCAGCAATCCTTTTAAGAGTTGCATTGAATTTGATGAACATGGAACATTTTTACAATATTTTAATTCAGTTTTCAATTATGCTTAAGCTTTTCTTGATTGATGATGACAAAAAGGAGTTTATATAATCTCTTAATGCCTATAAAAGAAAAACTATGACACTAGAACAAAAAACTTACTAAATTTCCCTTGCCCATCGCAGCTTGGTAATATGATGGATAAATACGCCGATATTCTGCTCAATAAATATTTTATTCCAGGGAGAATCATATCGAGATCTGACTTTTCATTTTTTTCTCAAACCTGAGTAAACTGCATTAATTATGTTTTTATTTATTTCATGCATAGATACAAAGAATTCGGGGAACGACCACTCTTTCTTCATTTGGAATATTCTAAATTCTTACTTGGTAGCTCTGGGAACTATGTATATTATAGTAATAGTGCTTCCAGTCGTTTTTTTAGCCCAGTTTAAAGAGACGATTTCACATGTTTATTGTGATGTCATGCAGACAAGACTTTTCGACTTGGAACGACTGGTACAATGCAACTGATCTATTTCTCATTTTCAGCCGTTTGCCAGAGTATATTATCTATCAGATCATCTCTATTTCAGATTTTGTTTTATATATATATATATATATATATATATATTGCACGTATATCGTCTTCTATAAACAAAACTGTCTTAATTAAATATCAATTTCAAGTATATTTTTCTTTCTTTTGTAGATGCTTCCGCTTCCGGAAAAGCTATCGACGAAACAAGCCTTTGCGTTAAGTCTATTTTAATGTACATTTTGGGGATTGCCGTTAGCCATGTCATTTCTTCTCATGCAATACTTTAACAAATATATCATAGGAGATGCTTGCTTAAATTTCATGCAAAAATCTGGAAGTTTTTTTTTAATAAAAATGAAAAAAGAAAAGTTTTTTTAAAAGAAAAAACAACAAATATCTTTTTCCAAAAAATATTTAAAAAATAACAAAAAAGCCATGGCATTTTTACCAGTCACATTTGTCTGCAGTCATGTGGAAAGAAACTCTGGAACCTTCTCGAAATGGAAATTTCTTGTTGGGTAAGAGTTAAAAAAAATACAAACATTCTTTCTAAAATTTGACTTGTTGACGTGATAGAATTGGCTGACAAGCTTTGTGTATCGATTTTGATGTGCTATTTATCGGCAAGATGAAAAAAAAATAAAAACAAATAATTTTAAATACTCAAAAAAGTGGAGTTGGAAATAAAAACAATGTCGAATGATCATAAAATAAAACGGGTGGATTGAATAAAATTTGCAAGTGAAAAAAATCTATTGCAAAAGAAAAAATGAATAATAAAAAACAATTAACAAGACATTAAAAATCTTAAAAGGAAGAACCTACATAAAAGAAAAACAAACAGATTATTCTGGCTATTATAATTATTGACACTAGAAAGGAAAAAGAACGCAACAACACATGCGCCCATAAATATACACATATATAACGAAAAATATACATAGACAATGCAGTTGTATTTATCATGACTGCATTCAACATCCACTCATATACATTGAAAACACTTATAAAATATAGAGAGACATTTCACGATATGTATATATTCCTACACGTGTACATAAACACGTGTAACGATGCGGCTGCCTAAATAGCAATACAAACTAGGACATTCATGGATAAAGGACCAAACATAACATTACACATTCATGGTAATATATGAAGAGAAACTCTTCAAAGGTTTAAGTCATGTGCGATTGAATATATCCCCCGCGCACACAGAGTAAAGAAGACAAGACAACATGTAAAATAAAAACCCATGCTAACATAAATGACTGCATCTATTCACACTGACGCACACAGAGGAAGACATAAAAACGGACTTTTTTTTTGCACCGAAAATAATATTTTCTCTCTCCTCCTTCTCCTCTTGGTTTTAAACGTTTCGAAACGAAGAAAAATGTCATTCATTTTCTCAGGAGTGAACTGTTTGTCCTTGTCTTTTTTTATTATTTTTCTTTACTTTGTAGTAGCAGCCAACATGAAAACGCCTCTTCGAGAAAGAGAAAAAAAACCTAGAAGGAGAGAAAGGAGTGAAAGGGGGAGAATGTGTTTAAAATGAATGAACAACTATAATAATTAAGTTCTTTGTTGGTGGCAAAACATTGAATTCTCACAAATGCAATTTTTTTTCCTGTTCATCAACACGAAAGTCAATTAGAGAAACAAAAATGAAATAAATCACAGCAAATAAATGAAAAAAAAATACGAAAGAATTTTCTTTACAGAATAAATATCAAAATGCAATCTCAGAAACAAAAGAAAATACCAATTCATATGAAATTTGTGATAGTGCGGCTTATAATTGGATAATGAAATAATGAAACATCTAGCTCTGATGACATCATCAGTTCGACAGTAAAGCTAAAAAAAAAAAACAAACAAATTAAAATAACGGACAGCAAAAACAAAAATAAATAAATAAATAAATGCTGGAATTCTTGACCAAGTGAAGATAATTGGAAAGGCATTGAGAAGAAATGACATGCAGGAAGAAAGACAGTTCTGATTCGGAACAAAAGAAAATGAAGCATTTTAGAAAAAGGAATGCAAAACAAACAATCTCCTGCTGAGTATTGTGCATAAACAGACCAGAAAGGTAACAAAGGCGTTCAGAAAGGACGAATCAGAAACATTCTAAAATGTTTCCGCGTGAAAGAAACGACAAAAGAATAGATAAATGCTGCTGCAGTTAAGAAAAAAATAAAATAAAAAAACGTATCCTACAGGTTAAATCTGCTCAGTAGATATAAACATGACCACCGAAAAGAAACGGACAAAAAAAAAAAAACAAAAAAAATGAATTTTGCCTACAGCAAGAATTAAATGCAAAGAAAGTATATATATATATATATATATATATATATATATATATAATGAAAAGACAAACAAATGAAAATACAACTAAAACATTTGAAGTCAGATCCTTGGCAAAAAAAAAAAAAAAAAATTAAAAAGCTTTGCGTAGCAAACAAAATTTTATTGTGTGCCGAAGCTTATTTTGATGTGTATCTGCATCAAGTTTTTAACCTTGTACATGTCGAGATATAACATTCGAGAGAGGGTCATGCTATACCAAATTAAAACATCCACTCACAAAACCATAGGCATACACAAGTAAGCGTTTTGAAAAGAAAAAAAAAACGAATAAAATAATCCTTAAATTTAAAACAATCCCAGCATCGCATTTACACACACTAAAATAAACAGCTATAATTATTATAAATGTAATTTATTTCTAACAAAAATACAAAGATACAAGTGTTATGAAATTATCAAATAAAAACAAAGAAAAAAAAAAAAAGGTATTCAAACCTCCACCACTAACAGTTGCTGTACAAGTGCCTTTCGCCAATGCTCTGTAAACACCGTCGGGCAATTAAAGTTGTGGCAGATGTAGTTGGGCTCGATCGTAGATTTGAAGTAAATTCCTAGATTGAAACGCATCTGGCAGGGTTAAACGCAAGTAGTTTGATAATGCATGCATAACATATTCGATCTAAGTAGCATATGGTTGTGTTTATTGGCTCGAAGAAAGAATCCGAGAGGGTTTTATTTTGTTACTTGTAATTTTAACTAAGTTCATGTCATTTAAATACAAGCGTGGGCGTACACACATGCATTTATGCTCACAATTACACACTTTGACAAAAATACAAAAACATTTACATGCTTTAAAGATACGCACATATAACGAAACATACACACATTATATATAAATAAAATTTGGTATATTTATAGGGGAGGATCGATCAATATCAGAACAGAGCGTTAATAGATACAGTGAATAAACACTGCATGTTGCCTATGAGTTTCGCGTATAAGTGCGATCTTCAAACCAGGATCACATTGAGGCGTTAGAATGACAGTCAGCATGGATGTCGAATCAAATGTACACACACATATATATATATATATATATATATATATATATAAGTAAAGACTAATATTAAAAGATTCACTTATCTTAACCTTAATCAGAGTATCATGGAGATATTTTCCTAGAACAACTAGAGTTCCTAACTGTCGAAAGTTATTTCCCTGAAAAAGCTTTATTTTATTTATTTCAATCAATGATTTATCACAATATCGAGCACAGTAAAAAATATATATATATATATATATATATATATATATGACTGACATAAACACGTTATCTTCCAGAAACATCCTGATCTACTATATATATATATATATAAGCGAGCGTGACATAGATACAGCATTGATAAATTCACTGTAGCAGTACTTTTTGCTTTACAATGTTGGCAAACATTATTCTATGATGAGACGGCATTCTCTCTCGCTCTCATATATATATATATATATATATATATATATATATATATATATATATATATGTATGCGCAATTGAATGTCATATTGGAAAATTCCTATGCAACACATTTCAACCTCTGGAAGTATTTTATTGGATTAATGTAATGTTATTTTTAATGCTTTTTTAAAAAAAAAAAAAAACAAAAAAACATTACTCCAACGACGAATCCCTTTTAGAAGATGAAACACGTTACAATTTTTCTACCTGTTCATTCAAATTGCCTGATATTTTACACAAACACACGTATATATATATATATATTCGCAGATAAATTTTACGTATTTTGTGTCATGTCGTAAGACACACACACACAAAGATATTAAAATTATTTTTATAATTACAGTGTATAATAAATACTAATTTCTTGTATATGTAGTTACTTCTCTACACAAGGTTACTCAAAAGTATTTTAATGTCTATATTATTAGAAATATTTCCCTATATATATTTTATCGTTATATCTATTAAACAAAATTACAAATGAAATAAAAAACAGATACAGACTTTTAAAACATGTCAACATACACACTCGTTTAATATTTACAATTATAAAATATGTATTGACACAGACTAGTACATATTTCTAATTTTTAATGCTTCTGTTTGACATATTTTTTTCTGTCCCCACTCCAATATCTTTCCTCTATCAATTTGTTCTTCTACCCTTTCTATATTTCCCACCCATTGTATTAATGATACAACGTATATACAAGTCTAGGCCTTCGGAAGTTATTAACAGCAATAACTTGCGAACCTTACTGCTAGTGTATGGCATTAAATATATGTAATATAAATTTATAAGACAATTTGAAAACTCAGTTTGATGTTTCACAGATGAATGGTTTTCATCAGAAGATGGATTTTTTTTTTTAGAAAAAAATCTACAGTAGTGACTTCATATTTTCTATATAAAAATTGATGTGGAATTTAAACTAATTTAATTTTTATAAGTCTTAGTTCCCCCCTTATTGCGTCAGCATTAATTTACTAATAACAGGAGATAGATTGATCAACATACCAGAGGTTTATGTCAGAGACGCATAAGCCCATGACAGTTTACCTTCGTCTCTGGTTTCGTAAAGTTGTATTTACTTTTTTTTTTTTTATTAAAACGGATTTTCTAGGTCAAAATTCTGATCAGCTTGGTTTCGAATAAAAAAGAAAAAATTATCAATAATTACAAAGTATAATATTAGGGTATATTAATTAAAAGTATTGATTAATCTTTTAAATAAATCAATCACCCTGACGCGAATCATGATTTGTCTCGCTAATATAGATTTTGTTATTGTAAAATAAAATTATTTCTCTGATGCTAAACAGGTTAAAATCGAAATTTGCCATGTGTCTTTTAATATATTTGTCATTACGTCAGATTCTCATCTATCTTTAAACACACACATGTGTGTGTGTGTGTGTGTGTATATATATATATATATATATATATATATATATATATATATATATATATATAGAGAGAGAGAGAGAGAGAGAGAGGTATTACTGTACATAGTTATTGAACTAAAATGCCCTTATTGTAAATTTTAAATTGAGAAAGAAATGTCATTAAAAACTTTGCTAAAATCCATAGATTTTTTTTTTCGGTTTACGTTGATTATTTTTTTCCGCTTGTGTCGATATAATTATATCCATCAACAAACATCAGTTGAGAATTATTGTTAGATATGATATGTTATGTTTTAATTAAATAAATTTACGTATCTGAAAATATATTTCATTTATAGCAGTTATTCAGTGATTCTAACACAATCTGTGATAGTGAGCTTTTGGCTAGAGATCGTTAAGTCACGGTAACACTTTCAGACTTAGATTACAAATTCAGTGCGAAAGTTCTCTTGACAGAGTGAAATGTAAATTGCAAAAATTACTATATGCTGTTGAAACTTTTAAAATTGTGAAAATATGCCGGTGATTATTTGAGAAAAAAATTAGAGCAAAAACATGACAAAAAAGACAACGGCTATTTAACTTTGCATTGTAATAATCAAATAAAATTTGTACGCATAATCCGGTTTTAGTTTAGACAAATGAGAAAGTGATATTGTTTTTTTTAATGTCTAGACAATGCGAAAAAAGATTGCTTGCATCGGAGAAGACCAATATATAAATCGGTAATTCCAACGTTCTTACATTTGTTTTAGATATACGACTTAAAATTTAAATAAAGTTTCTTTATAAGCCTCTCTTTGCAGTGTATTCAATGAGGCTTCATCATTTTTGCCTTCGAACTTTTTACTGAAGATCGAAATTCATTTTGTTTAAATGCTCAACACTCGATATCAAATCGGTAACACTTTGAAAATTATCATAAAGTCGATCAAAAAGAAAAAGAAATGTCCCGTCTAATTGAATGTCTAAAAATTTTACTTTCTTTTGCAAGAATATATGGGAGCCTTATGATAACTAGAATTAGGGTAAAAAAATAAATAAATAAAAAATCAAGTGCCATTAATATACTTCTTAATTGAAATATTTATGAAACACCATTGATTTATACGTAAAAAATATATAGCGTCATTAACACACATTCCAACCAGAATTAAAGCCATATTTACTCAGGGTAGATGCAGTTGCGAGTAAGTTATTTTCTTTCTCGTTAGTTAAAATAAAATTATAGATAATACTGAATTTCTTAATATTTCAAATGTTTGCAAATAAGATTCAGTTAACTGTACGAAAAAGCACACACACATTATATATATATATATATATATATATATATATATATATATTATCCCACATTCCTTTAAAGTGTTAATTTCACTTCAATGAACATCTCCAAGTTGTTTTACTAGACTTTTCGTACATCTTTGTACTATTTGAGAAAGAAAATAAAAATAGTTTTGTCATATTAGGTTGGTGCAAAAATAATTAAGATTTTTACCCAACTTTACAGATTATATATATATATATATATATATATATATATATATATAAAGAACTACTGTGATGGTTTCTTCAGGATAAAATCATTTTTAATAAATTATTCTATTTTCCGACCGTCAAAGATTCTAATTTTGAAGCAGCGTTGGTTTTTGTAGGGAGGCACGGTGGAGTAATGGATAGTTGCTCGGATTGAGGAATCGGAGGGCCGAATTCGAATTCCAGTCGAATCCATTACATATGTGCTAATCTTGGGAAAGTTATGAATCTTCTACCCCCCCACACACACACACA